ATTTTTCAATACAATAAACTTGATTTTTTTTTACAAGTTTATAATATACACAACAGCACTTAAAAGCATTCTCTTCAGTCTTAGCGTTAACCCTTTAAATGCTATTTATTCGATTCTATCATTGTTTTTAAAAATGGAAATGATTAGTGTTTTTAGAAGGAAAATAAGTAAATTAGCTTAGAATATCTTTTATTAATATTTTAGAAACAAAATTGACATGATTTTTGAGACTTTCGTGTTGTAAAACCAGTCTTTTAGAGTTATATACTATATATATATATACAATCATTGGATACTCAGTTCCATTGAAGATTATATATTTCTGGGTGTTTTTAGATGAATTTTTAGAATCGAAGTAAATTAGTTATATTAGAATGTCGTTGGAAAATAAAATTTAAAGTAAGTGTACGATTATTCACGCACCTAAATCCTTCCTTTTGCGTGACAAAACAGGTCAAGTCATAATAGACTTCTGGCGCCATCATTCTAGTCATAACAGACTTAGTTAAATCAATGTCACTGTGTTTGTATGACTCGGTTTGTTGGAGAAAATTTTTATCTTCATCTTTTCCAATAATGCGAAATAAAAAAAAAATAAATAAATAAATAATGTAGCAATAACAATAAATATAACAATAATAATAAATCTAAATTATTCCGGATATTTTTATTCCTTTTTTTAAAGGTAAATTTTGATTCGCTTTTCAAAGAAATGTCTGCTCATTCGATTGCATTTTTGGGTTTTTTGGTGAGGTGTTTTTCAATCAATTAGCGTTTCTGGGTGTTTTGGTAGGGAATTTTTTGAATCAATTAGAGTTTCTGGGTGTTTTGGTAGGGGTTTTGAATCAATCAGAGTTTCCAGGTGTTTTAGTAGGGAGTTTTTTGAATCAATTAGCGTTTCTGGATGTTTTGGTAGGGAATTTTTTGAATCAATTAGAGTTTCTGGGTGTTTTGGTAGGGGTTTTTTGAATTAATTAGAGTTTCTAGGTGTTTTGGTATAGGTTTTTTTTAATCAATTAGAGTTTATGGGTGTTTTGGTGGGATTTTTTTGAATCAATTAGAGTTTCTGGGTGTTTTGGTAGCGGTTTTTTGAATTAATTAGAGTTTCTGGGTGTTTTGGGGATTTTTTGAATCAATTAGCGTTTCTGGAATTTTTGGCAGGGTTTTTTTTGAATCAATTAGAGTTTCTAGGGTTTTTCTATGAGAGTTTTTTTGAACCAGTTGGAGTTTCTGGTGTTTTGGTGAGGATATTTGAATCAATTAGAATTTCTATAGAAAAACCTCATCATTTTGAAAAGATTTTTTAAACAGTTAGAGTTTCTGCAGGGTTTTTTTTTTACGAGATTTCTTGAGTCAATTAGTGTTTGTGGGTTTCTAGATGAGTTTTTTTCATAGAATCTACTAAAATATTTCCTTTGACGATGTGAAAAACATGAAAAACAGTGCTGTAATTTCTATGTTCTTATGTTTCTAATGAATTTAAATTGCAAGACATTTCTTTTAAAATTCAGAATAAAAAAAAGAAAATTACAAAACTATTCTGTTTTCTGAAAAAGTTTTATTTGTTTCATTTTGATGAAAACTTTTTCTGTTTTTATCAAAATGCGTTGCTCTATAAAAATAATTTCTAAAGAATTTACATATTTTGCTCTATAGAAATATTTTCTAAAGAATTTACATATTTTATATAGTTTTTAGAAAAATTTATTATGTATTTTTAAATATTTCTTTCTTATTAACGTAAAATTTGCTTCGAGCTTTCAAAAACTATTTGCTTATTCGATTAGATTTTTATGAGATTTTTAATTAACTGTAGATTTTTTAGACGAAATAGAATGTGAGGAAAGTATAAAAAATATGAAAACAATTTTATGTATTTTTTTATATATATATTCTTATATATCTCATTAAAAAACTTCTCGTATTTTTATATTTTTCTATAAAGTTATTCTCATAGGAATTTCTTTTTTTAAAAAAAAGCAAAGCAAATTGTTAGATAGATTTTCTAAAAAATCACAATTATAAAGATATAAAATTTCTATATAAATATTTCTAGAATTTTATATAGAAAAATACAAGAATTTTTTTAAAAAAATATATTTTCTAAAAAAACTCTCATAGATTTTTTAAAGAAAACCTTGCTGTATGTTATGATATTACTCTTTTAAGATAAAATTTTACTTCATTTTTCTAAAAACCTCACTTATTCGATTAGGTTTATTGAAAATTTGATGAGAGTTTACTGAATTAATAAAATATTTCTTCAAAACTTCGTGTTGTATACAAAAAAAAAATAATAATAAATAATATAATTGATTTTTCTGTTAATTTTCTTAATAAAAATGTATTATTTTCTCGTCAAAAAATCCTTTTTTTTTATTATAAATTTCAAGAAAATTTCTTTGATTTAAGTAAAAAAAATAACACTAAAACAATTGAGTAATGTTATTTACTTGGTTACACGTAAACTTTACTTTAATAACCATAAATAAAATTAAATTTTTTTGATATATATGTGTTTGGAGATTTTTTTTTTTTTTTTGAAAAAAATGTTAAAGAAATTTACTACAAGTAGATTATCCGATATCAAAATTGTATCCGTAATTTATCATTCCAGATAGTAAATGTAAGGTTGAGTGTTTCTATACTGTTATTGCTATGGTAACCGATAGTATATACACAAAGACACACACAACTTTTAGATATGACTATGTCTACTGATCCATGCAATCAATGTAACTATTTACTTCTATTATCGGATTGTATTATTTTTGTTTAAATATATCTTGTTTTTTTTAGAAAGTGACTCTAGCAATATTTATTGTATATAGACAGAGAATTATTTTATAAATACAGAGAAACTTTTCCTGTTAAGAAAAATAAATTACTAGCTGTTAAAACGTAATATTTAGCTTGATTTTTTTAATAATTAATTTGGTATTTTGTATTTGTATTGTTAGAACTTATATATAAACAAAAAAACCTACCTTAACGCCTTAATATACCTCACCCTACTGTTGTATTTATAAAAACTCAATAAATATTGAGGCATGTTATTATAGCTTTCTCTCCCATTAAGAAAAATAAATGATTAACATTTACAATATAATGTTTTACTGGTCTTTTTTTTTACACGTGTAATTTGGTATTTTGTATTCTAAACGCTATTTAATATATTTCCGTATTGTTAAGTTGAATTATTTCTATAATTTTCATACTTGTAATCCTCTACGATCGTAAATATTAAAAGTTTATTATCTATACAAACTATCTTGTATTAGAAATTGTAAATTTTCTAGTAAAATTTTCTGTGTTTTATCTTTAATTCTCTCACTTTCTATTCACTTGATGAATTTTTATTGTCCTATTATATATATATTTTTTGCATTTTATAAATTTAAACATTTCTAAAGGTATGTTTGCTTGTGTATTGTAGTTTTAAGCATTTTTAAAGTTATTATTACTTAGTTTATTATATTTTTTAAAGATTTTTTGGGGGGAGGAAATTATATTTTTTTAATCAATTTTATTAAGAAATAAGTTGATATACGAAAAGATATTTTTTTTCCTCCTTTAACTTTTTAGATGTGTTTCTTTTTTTCTAGACATTCCTATGGAGATTGGGTTCAGTATGCGATCGTGTTTACTACATTTCTATCTTTATATTGATATTTCGTGTTTTTGATTTGAATATCTCAAATTCTTACTACTCAAAATCTGGATTATTTTTTCTCTTTTTTTTAAGCTCTTATTATCTTGTATACATTCCTTAAATTCCCATTCAATCATACAAGAAAACATAAGTTTTTACTTATAATAACTTTAGATATTTATGATTTTTTTATGGAAAAAAATATATATATATTGTAAAATGTAATCCAGCATTTAAATCGATTTAATGGAATTAATAATATTCATTTTATTTTTAAACTTTTATTCATAAAAATGAGGGAAATGTATGAAGAAATTAGTGCTACACTCGTAAAGCGTTTATGGCGTTAAAAGCGCTAACACACAAAGTATATACAGTACAGTACATTGTACAGTACAATAGAAATATAATTAAGCTTGTAAGGATATTTACAATATAATTGAGTGTACAATTAATATATAATATAAGTACAGCTTACAACTTATAATTTGGAGAATAAGTTAATAAATAAATTACATTTGGAATAAATATAATTAGATTTAAATGTTTAATCTGTATACTACATTTGTAATCTCTCTGTAAATTATTCTCAGAATAATATAAATTTATCTGAATTTACTATTTATAGAAGGAATGTAATATAATTTAATAATATGTAAAACTACTATATTATATACTGTACATTATAATACAAAGATATGATTGTTTGGAACATACTAGAAACATATGAGAAGTATTCTAGTAATATACAAGCTATGACTATACTAGGAAAACCAATAGAAAAACACCAGGAACACTTTTTGTAGTGTTCCTACTATGTTAGTACACACTAAAACAGTAAAAAATGAATAATTGGAATGTATTAGAGTACACTAGTGCACACTACGGACAATATATAGCGCGTATTAGAGCTATACTAGAAAAGCCAACCTACTAGAAACACTTTGTGGTGCTTAAGCTTGTACCCGGTAACACAAAATGTTTATTAGGTACACGTTTAAGTACCACAAAGTGGATACTAGGAATGTACTAGGAGCAATTTTGCACACTAGACAGAGTACAAGATATATAATAGAACATACTAGGAAAAAAAACACTATTAAGACCTTACAAAGAGCATATTAGGAACACTAAAGCTACGTAATAAATAATACTAGAAAACAGGAACACACTAGGAACATATTAAGAATACCAAAGAATTCTTACATTATAATAGAAATGAGTGTTTCTAGATTAAATTTGAGCATAATTTATATAGAATAATCGCGTATAACATTTAATATTATTTTTAAAAGAAAAATTCTATTTATACCACATCAAAAACCAATCTTTTTTCTAATGTTTGCAGTCGGCTACACGATGCAGGATATACGATATAAATGGCAAAAGGGAGAAGATTCTGTTGGAATGTCAACAGAAGTCGAACTGCCACAGTTTAAGGTCAGAGGGCATCGACAAAGTTCAAAGGAAGTTCATCTCACAACAGGTAAATAAATAATAAAATAAATTAATTAAATCTTTAAATATCGATTTTTTTAAAAAATAATCTCGTTTGTTTAGAGACGTGATTTTAGAAGAAAAATCAAAAAAAGGAGGAAAAAAATCCTCTGTTTTTTTTGTAAAGTTGGGTTTTACAAATCTGTAATAAAAGACCATTTGTTAATTCTTTGTCCAAAATCTTTCTTTAATCTATCTTTTCTTTGAAAGGTANCGATAGTATATACACAAAGACACACACAACTTTTAGATATGACTATGTCTACTGATCCATGCAATCAATGTAACTATTTACTTCTATTATCGGATTGTATTATTTTTGTTTAAATATATCTTGTTTTTTTTAGAAAGTGACTCTAGCAATATTTATTGTATATAGACAGAGAATTATTTTATAAATACAGAGAAACTTTTCCTGTTAAGAAAAATAAATTACTAGCTGTTAAAACGTAATATTTAGCTTGATTTTTTTAATAATTAATTTGGTATTTTGTATTTGTATTGTTAGAACTTATATATAAACAAAAAAACCTACCTTAACGCCTTAATATACCTCACCCTACTGTTGTATTTATAAAAACTCAATAAATATTGAGGCATGTTATTATAGCTTTCTCTCCCATTAAGAAAAATAAATGATTAACATTTACAATATAATGTTTTACTGGTTTTTTTTTTTACACGTGTAATTTGGTATTTTGTATTCTAAACGCTATTTAATATATTTCCGTATTGTTAAGTTGAATTATTTCTATAATTTTCATACTTGTAATCCTCTACGATCGTAAATATTAAAAGTTTATTATCTATACAAACTATCTTGTATTAGAAATTGTAAATTTTCTAGTAAAATTTTCTGTGTTTTATCTTTAATTCTCTCACTTTCTATTCACTTGATGAATTTTTATTGTCCTATTATATATATATTTTTTGCATTTTATAAATTTAAACATTTCTAAAGGTATGTTTGCTTGTGTATTGTAGTTTTAAGCATTTTTAAAGTTATTCTTACTTAGTTTATTATATTTTTTAAAGATTTTTTGGGGGGAGGAAATTATATTTTTTTAATCAATTTTATTAAGAAATAAGTTGATATACGAAAAGATATTTTTTTTCCTCCTTTAACTTTTTAGATGTGTTTCTTTTTTTCTAGACATTCCTATGGAGATTGGGTTCAGTATGCGATCGTGTTTACTACATTTCTATCTTTATATTGATATTTCGTGTTTTTGATTTGAATATCTCAAATTCTTACTACTCAAAATCTGGATTATTTTTTCTCTTTTTTTTAAGCTCTTATTATCTTCTATACATTCCTTAAATTCCCATTCAATCATACAAGAAAACATAAGTTTTTACTTATAATAACTTTAGATATTTATGATTTTTTTATGGAAAAAAATATATATATATTTTTTTTCATTCTTTTGGATTTACGTAATAAAAATTTATAATAAATAATATCATTCATCAATCTGAAACGATTTTTTTGACACGTAAATTGTTTATCGTCTACATCGAGCTAAATTTATTGAAAGATAATTTTGTGGTCGCGAGAAAATGCTCTGGTGTGATGTATTTTTAATATCTAAAAACTACGAAAGCTAATTTTTTGGATATAAAATTATGTTGACGTGTTTTAAATAATTGTATGAAAATATGAATCAAGTTACTTTCCAATGCCATGTCCAAAAAGTCCAAAATTATATCTAAAAAAATGCATGTTCAAAAAATTCGAAATTGTGTTTTTGGGTGTGGAATATTTTTAGGTAATCCATGTTTAAAAAATCGAAACACTACAAACCAAAAAGATCTAAACACTGAATCCAAAAGGATCCAACACTGCATTCAAAGAATCCAACACTGCATTCAAAGAATCCAAAAACACTGCACCCAAAGAGATCCAAACACTGAACCCAAAAGGATCCAAACACTGCATCCAAAGAGACCCAAACACTGCATCCAAAGAGACCCAAACATTGCACCCAAAGAGATCCAAACACTGCACCCAAAGAGATCCAAACACTGCATCCAAAGAGACCCAAACACTGCATCCAAAGAGACCCAAACATTGCACCCAAAGAGATCCAAACACTGCACCCAAAGAGATCCAAACACTGCACCCAAAGCGATCCACCACTGCACCCAAAGAGATCCAAACACTGAACCCAAGAGGATCCAACACGGCACCCAAAGAGATTCAAACATTAATCCAAAAAATCCAAACACAAAATCCAAAAAATTTAAACACTGCATTCAGTAAATCGTGTCCAAAAACTTCTGTTTTTCTATGTAAAATATACTAAAATGCTTTCGTAAATGACTGTATATCGATATCACGTGAGTGTATTCTTGTGTATGTACAGTACATATTTTGGAATTGTCTAAAAATGTTTCATATGTCACATTATATCCAAAAAATGTAAGATTGCGATTTTTTATGTAAAGTATGTTCATACAGTCCTTTCTATGTGTAAATATTTTGTCTGTATGTGTTACTACACGTACTAGATATCTAGATGCGTGTAGACATGTGCTTTTGTGTATTTAGAATGTATTATTTGAATTTAGACATGTTTAGACATGTATCTAGTTGTTTATATGTGTCTAGACCTGCCTATTTTTATATGCTTATACATGTATTTAGATGATTACTGCTTAGACATTATATGTGTTTAGTTATGCATCACTAATGTGCGTTTTTCCCATTTTCAACAGGAAATTATTCACGTTTAGCATGCGAAATTCAATTCGTCCGAAGTATGGGATATTATCTTATTCAAATTTACATTCCAGCCGGTTTAATTGTCATCATATCATGGGTGTCGTTTTGGCTCCATAGAAACGCAACACCAGCACGTGTAGCCTTAGGTGTTACGACAGTGCTAACTATGACTACACTTATGTCCAGCACAAACGCAGCCTTACCAAAAATATCCTATATAAAGAGCATCGACGTATATCTTGGAACGTGTTTTGTGATGGTGTTTGCATCATTGTTGGAATACGCCACTGTCGGATATTTGGGGAAGAGAATTGCCATGAAAAAATCGAGAACTCAGTTAATGGCGAAAATTGCTGAACAACATCGTCACAGGTGTCATGCTGCTGCAGACTCTGGAGCCGATGCTATTTTGCTTGCCAATCCTGATATACCCTTGATGAGAACAGCGATCAGACAAACAGTAAGTACTATTTTTCCTTTATCTTAAGAACAATTAATATCGTGTTCTGTTAATAAGTGATTGATAATTGAAGCGAGAAGAGAAGGAACTGTGTATTTACCCTAAGAATTATACAGTAATGTTCGTTTAAATTCAATGGGAACCGAACTTTTTCAATTTAAACAATGGTTCTGGATGGACCTATTCAGAACTATTATTTAAATGTGAATTTTTAGTATATTTGTCCTCAAGTAGAAGTTAAATAAATTTTTAAATATTATTAAAGAACGTGGGTTCGGTCCCATTTATAATCGAAAAGTCTTTTCTTACATATATATCTTCATTTCTATATTGCTAATGAGAACCAAATCCCATTCTGAGTATAAGAAGAAGTCGCGGGTTCGGTCCCTATTTAAAACAGAACGTCTTTTCTTATTTGTATCTCAATTTCTATATCGCTAATGAGAACCAAGCCCCCTTTTTTTTGAGTATAGGAAAAAGTCTCAGATTCGGTTTCATTCCAGAAGCACATTTTCTTGTAACTTAGTTTTATGGTTATACTCGGGTAAGAACCGAATCCATTATGAATATTAAAGAAGAATGTAGGTTCGGTTCTCGAATGCTAAATGATATTCATATATAATCATTTATATATTTACATCTCGATTTCTGAACTTTTTCTTGTGATAATCTAATCCAATGAACCAGTAAAGGCGTGAGTTCGGTCCTAAGTATAGAGCCAAATACTATTTAGAAACAAATCCTTTTTTATATTTTATATTTAGGTTTTTAATCTATCTCTCATCATATTGTACGTTTATACAATATAAATATTAGTAGAGACGTGGGTTCGGCTCTCAGATATAAAACTGTATAGAGGTAGTTTTTAAATTTAATTCTCGGTTACTCAGTTTATCTCGTACGAGAAAATGATTAAATTTGTCTTACAAGAATATTAGTGCAAACGTGGGTTCAATCCACAAATGAAAAACTAAATATCTTTTGTATTTATTTCTAAATTTCTAACTTTTCTCGCTTGATAACCATACCCATTCCGAAATTTAGTAAAAGGAGTGGGTTCGGTCCCAATTCGTTTTTTTTTGATTACACACGCTGTTTATATATTAAATTTAAGTTTAGAAGTGATAAAAACCGAGAAAACTGATAATTTTTTTTTTATAAAAATAAGCTATAATTAATAAAATAAATTCCACTTTAACACTCCCAAAACGGATAGGAAATCATTTTAATAGATCAAAGGATCGTGTTTCTAAATTCATTTCTAATTTCCACACATCTGAGAGAAAGTAGAAATCATCTTAATTATCTGGAAACTAAACGAGAACGGACAATTCGCAATTAGAGAAACTAAAATTGCAATTATCAACAGATTTTCTCGATTCCAACTTCAATATAGTCTTTGTGTTCAACTTTAGATAACATCAAATAAAGCAGAAACAATGAGAGTATGTCTCATTGCACCTTGGCATCTGGTTATTTCTTTCTCTTGGTGATGAATGTCTTATTGATTCTACACTGACTTGTATTGACACGCGTTTGTCATATTTCTTAGTAAAGTTGTGTGAGCTTTCAGATATATCAAGTTGGATTTCAACGAAGATTTTTTTTTTCATTTTGTTTTTTCCCCCTCCTCTCTTATACTTTAATATTAGTATTATTTTAAGTATAAATATTTAATTATAAGAATTCAATGACTATCAGAAAAGAAATTTTTAAAATTTGACTTAATTCTTTGTACTTGACTCTCATTCCTATGATCCAAAAGTCAAAATGACTCAATAGTTTAGGTGTAGTGCAAGCCCTATAAAGATCAACTATTAATACTGCAATATCTAGATATTAATGNTTTCTATATAAAGTATGTGCCATGTTCGGTGTTGTAACCGACAGCAATTGCAAGTTGGGTTTCTTTAAATCTTCAATTTTCTGTTTATTACTAACTTTATGTAACTGCGCATTTTTTAAAATGGCTATTCGATAATTTAGGGTCATTTTGGGGGTGAATTTTTAGAGAATTTTGGAATAATTTCTCGGGTTTCCTATATAGAACATGTTCGAGTGGATAACGTCACTAAAGTATATTGGTCGGGGATTGGGTTCGCTCCTGACCAGCGTGCTGGCTGCGTGAAGTTTTCCCAGGTTTCTTCACGTGTCTGATATCTAAATAGGGGCTAATTTCTTATAGAAATGTATTGAGTTGCCTTATTCAATCCATGAAGAACCCAGACAATACGTGTCGAACAACAGTTATAATTGAAGCACGTTAGTCAGGCCGTGGGTTCGTACCTGACCAACGTGTTTCGTGTGTTTTTTTTCACATGTCAAACACCTAAACAGGGGCATTTTCCATAGAAGTCTATGTATTGCCTATGAATTTTGTTGCCTTTTATCCCATTAATCTAATCCATAGAACTTTATGTTGTTTATATGTGTCTAGACCTGCCTATTTTTATATGCTTATACNTACGGTTTTACTTTTTTTTTTGGTATATTTTTATGGTATTTATTCTCACGGCTGATTAAATTTGTATTTTTTAACGTGCAAAGAGGAATGTATAATGCTTAACATCTAGAGTGTGCGTATGTTTGTTTGTACAAAGGAAAGAATTGGAAAAATGTGAGAAATATTTTAATTATTTTCTTGTTATACGGGTGTTATATTTGAAAATTATGAGAGAAATATTCTTTAAAATTAATAAAATATTAATCTCTAATTAAGGATATTAGTCTCCAATATTAATTGAATATTAATCCTTTGAACTATTAGAAAGTTAGTCTCTAAAATTTGTATTATTTTTTAAAAGCCTATTAGTAATTATAAATCATTTTAATAGAAATTTTAAAAGATTCTATAGAAAATTTCACGTTGAATGTATAATTTGCTTTGAAGTGATAACAATTAAAAATTGTGTTTTTTGAAGGGTATAAGGGTTAATAAGGGTATTCTTCAAAGCTATAAGGGTTAATAAGTGTACTCTTCAAAGCTATAAGGATTAATAAGGGTATTTTTAAGGGTAAAAAGGGTATTTTTAAAGAATATAGTAAACAAAGTTTGTTTTTTTTTTTGTCTCTATGTGATGCAACATTTTAAGTTAAGAGCAATCGAAAATAGAATTCTTTGAAACTTTACTCTTCTTAATATAGAATTTTTATAAATTTTAATAGAAGATTTTTATGTTTATGTAGAATATATGCATCACTTTAAAAAAGGATAAAAACTAGGAATAGATTTTTTTTAGAACTTCAACTTCTGCAACTCGAATTTTTTTTTATTTTAGAAATTTTAAAGCCTATTCTACAAATTATTTATGATTTTTTGACAAGGGAATTTTATATTTATGAATGTATTCGGTAGTGTATTAATATTATTATTATTGCCTTGTTTCTCTGGAGATGTTGAATGAATACATGACGTTGACCTATGACATTTTTCTGTCGTGAAAAAGAAATGCAATTAGATCTGGTCGTCAACTGCCGTTCTCACCTACTTCTTCCATTTCTTTTATTACGGTTTTAAAAAAAAAATACACAGCGTGTTGGTTCGCTAATCACTTCCTATCTTTGTTAATCGAATTAGTGTCTTTGTCTCCTCGAAATAACGCCACTAAGTAAGAAGTGTGTTAAAATTTCAATATAGGAAAGAAGTTTATACGTAAAAATAAGTAAAATAATCGATAAAAATGATATTTTTGCATCTATTACATATATTTCTATCAATTTTTGCACATAGTTCAAGTTTGGCATATATTTATTCAAAAAATTTGATGTATTTACCATTAATTGTTGCACATAGTTCTTACAAAGTAACACGCTTCTATTATTGAGCCAATATTTATTTTAATATTATTTTTTCTTATTTTCACAAGAAAAAAACTTAGAAATTTAAATCAATTTTTACACTTTATTTCTTCTATGATTACCTCAATTGTTTACTTATTCAAAAATCTATGGTTTTGCGTTAATTTTTGCATCCTTTTCTTAAAAAATTAAGTATATTTACGTGAATTTTTGGGCCTATTTCTTGAAAAATCGGCACGTTTGCTTTTATTACTGCATTCAGTTTCCTCAGAAATCAGAGCAATTATATTAATTATTGAACATTTTTATCATTAATTTTTGAGGCAAATCAAATTTTAATTTATTAATTTGATTTAAAAAAAACAATAAAATTAATATAATTAAGAATCATAAATTCGTGTTTAACCACTTGTAATAAATGAAGTGAGCACGGTGTTGGGGAGTTTAATTTGGATAATAGCATTCGGACATCACACGTTGACATTATGTCTGAAGTAGATTAGAGGGAACGATAAGACTGAAAATTTCAATAATTCTATAAATCGTTAGAGGGATATGACATTGTTGTAATTAATGATGAGGTTTTTTACTGTCAGACACATATACGTATTGTACATTCACTCTTCTTCTGCTTATAATAATTAGTATTGGAAACTTATTTTTCTTGTAAGCACCCTAATGACGACAATGATTGATTAATTCCTCTGCTACAGAGGTAAATAGCAATAGTATTTACCACTACAGCAATAATTTACCGCTGTAAAACCTGTCTAAACCGGAACTGTCTACTGTATTTTTACATAAAATACAATATCGCTTCGTATACTTTGGTGAAAATGTTAGTGGTAAATTGTTAAACAATTTCTTCTGATTAAAAAAAATAGATATATATGTATATATAATTTAAAGTTATGTTCTTTTAATTAGAAGGAACTATGCTTAACGTGCAATTATACATTGTGATATGGTCACAATGCCGGCCTGCAATTTTTAATCATCTTTTAATTTAAAAACATCACGTGATTTCCGTTCTAGACCGGAAGTTTGTATATCGAGTCCTCCGACTCCTGGCTAGCTCTCTAGATCTGGTCTGGATTTTAGTGGGTTTTTTGCCCCTGTACATCATACTTCTTCTGATAATAATCGAGTCATGTGGGCCAAATAACTAACTCCGTACTGGATAACATTTTGA